ATGAGAGATATTAAGAATGAGATAAGCTAAAACCAAGTGAGCTCCTCACTTCCAGAAGTGAAAAAGTTAGTGCAACAGGACCAATGGCGGAACTAGAATTTTAAGTTTGAGTGGATGAAAATGAAAAATTTAATATTTGAGGGGGCAAAATTATAAATAAATTTTAAATAAGGTAAAATTATAAAATTTGAAAATAATATATATAAATTTTAGAATTTTAAAGGGAGCGGAGCCCTTACTAGCCTCCCCTCCCTCCGCCTGTAACGAAGACATTACACAATTAGATGAGTCACGTATTCCATCTATCACTTAGATAGGATTTTAATAATAATTACAACAATTACATGTTGCAGCTCAAAGTTAAAACATTTTAATCAATTTAGGTCAATGAATTAGTGGACTAACTAATTTTGTTTAAATGTGATTGGCTTATGTGTCACCTGAACCCATGCTTATCATGCAGACATATAAGTTAAAGTTTAAATTATAATTAGGTTAAACTACTACATCGCAATACCGTTCGATTGTGGGGAAGTTAACATTCTAGAAAGAGTTCCACCTACTGTCAACACCTATATCCCATTGGTCATATTACAATATTTAACTTCGAGCAATTTGCAAATCAACAGCTCCCAAGAAAGAACTACTTATTTTGCCCTTCTCTTTCATTCTTTGGCTGAAGTTGTATATTTCACTACGTGCGCAACAAAATGCATTATAAATTATAAGACATTGTCCACTCCTGCATCGTCAGGGACGGGCTTGATACGCATTTCGATTGGGCAAAAGCAAACCCAAAAAAATGAAAACAGGCTCAAGTTTGGGTGTTTTACTGGATCTAGCATTGCGGTCTGGGCCTTGGCTTATGGATTGGGTGGGGGAGTGGAGGTAGGGAACATAAAAGAAATAATTATCTATAGGACCAAATCTATTACAACAATCAACATTCATATTCATGTATCATGCTAGCGTGACTATTCCAACAAAAATACTACAGCTTATATTATCCAACATTACATGTGTTACAGTCCACATTTTCAATTCAAAAGATAAGTCAATTAAGTAGAAAAAAGCCCTTACTTATAAACTTAAAACTTATCCTATATTTTTATTGATATGAACTCTCTGACATTCTACTTCATCCGTCTTCATTAAGAATGACTCACTTTGATCTGGACTTATATCTTTTAAGGATGTGCCACATCAATGACAATTTGAGTAAAAGAGAGACTCACTTTGTTCAAGTTTAACTTAATTTTAATATCTCTCATGAAAAGTCTCACATCAATGAAGATTTAGATAAATTCTAATAATAGTATTGCACTTGTCACCGTTTCACATCTCTAACTCAAAGAATATATCTATTAAGTAGAAGAAAAGTGCCACTTATAAATCCATGTAGAGGTGGAGGGGAAGGGGGCTAGTGGAGGCCTGACATGGCACGCGAGTCCAACCCAACCAACCATTGGGCTAACAAGCATATGGGGGTTCCTATTGGCTGGCCAGGCAGGCCACGGGTAGGTCCTCTGCGATTTGGCGGGTCAGGTGTTATTGGTTTGCGCACACTTGTGCACCCCACATTTGGGTAGCACACAATCTTGCACCCCAAGCTGCAAACCCTAAGGCGGCACAACCCTAGTGCCTAGAATTTAGGTGTCGCATGTAAGGAAGCTACTCTTGCCGTGCACCTAGGGTGCGCACCCGCATTCGATGTGGCTCGCACGCCCTGTGTGCGCAAAGTGCACACCTGTGAGCCACTCACCTAAGACTTGCAACCTACACACTTCGCACACTCGTGAGCTGTATGTGCCGCCACTTATGAGTCACTTCTAGAACACCACAAGCTCCCGCACAGGGCCATTTTGGTGGAGTCACATGGGTTGCATGGGGACTGAATTACTTAGGCTGATGTTTAAGGTTGGATACCTGCTGAATAAGTTAGGGATTATTTCCTTAACATATTTTTACTTTTCCTGTACTTTAAAAAATTTTTAAATTAACATATTTTTTGTTTTAAATTATTTACACACAGAATAAGTTAGAGGCTAGCCACCTTTATAATCTTTTATTTTCATTAAACATTTTGTATTTTGTTAAATGTTAAGTATTTTATTTTTCTCTTATTGGGGTAATAATATTTATTGTTCTTCCCAATCTCTTTTTTATATTTATTTAGTTCACATTTTCACAACAATATCCACTATTCTTCATCAAGGCTTACTTAGTTTTATGTACACAAGATTATAGTACACTTGAAACATGACTAAAATTTTTTCAACAATGTTAAAATTTTTATAATTTATTTTTATTTTTTAAAAAATTTTATAATTTCACTTTTAAAAAATTTAGAATTTTTTTAATATACTTTTTTAAAAAAAAAATAATTTTACTTCTATAATAACTATTTGTTAGGTGAGATGCTTGATAATAATTAATTAATAAATAATTTTAATAAATTTATTTTTATAAAAATTAAATTTTAAATTTAATAAAAATATAGTAAAGTTACTCACTCTTAACACAAATCGTAAGGTTTATGAAAGCAGGAAAGTAAAGAAATTGACAAAAGGTGCATCCTAATCTTGAACAAAGAGCGCTGAGGAATCGTTAGCAAGACGAAAAATGAGATTTTCAAAGGAAGGAGTGGCGTACCCAAGAGTCAGAGCTTTATGCTGCTTTGTCGTGAACGAAACTCATCTGGAAAGGTAGAAGCTTCTGTTTCTTCTATCTAATCTAAAACGTTACCACACAACCTCATCCAAGGATCCCTTCAAAACCAAAGCAGTCAACCACCCATTGGCTTTGGACACGAGTTGAAATCCTATTGGTTTCAAGGCTTACCAGAAATTCTCATCTCAGCCACGTCAATGTTCACGTCTTCAAATCTATGGGAAAAGAAATCCTAGTCCGCCGCGTGGCAGCGGAATTCTCATGCTTCACGCAACGGTTGCTGCCGGGCCGACAACTAATAAATAAATACCCTTACGGTAACAACCAACTTATATATTTTTTTCAAAAAAGAAAGATTCGAATTGATATTTTTTAAATAAGTAGATGATATATTAATTAATTTATTTATTAATTATTTGGATGCAATTTGTATATTATTTAACTCCTATTATCATTAATGGTTTTTATTTATTACCATCATTAAGATAGTAACAAGATATTTATGGATGGAACTCTAATCTAAAATCATTTACATCAAATTAAATAATTATATTAATTCTAAGCTGAAATTATTATTAATCGTATTATAAAATCAATAAATAAAAATAATTTTTATGATTAATAAATAATCATATGCTAATAATTACTATAATTCATAGATATTGAATTTAATTTATATAAAATTAAAAATTTGAGACAAATAAATTAATCTTAATTCTTAAATGCGTACAAGGATATCAATTAAATTTGAGAAAAACGTGATGAGGCGGCCAAAGACAAGGGGTCCTTTTCGTCAAAGTTTCAGATATTGAGTGAAGACCACGTGGAAAGAGTATTGGCATTGGCTGGTCCAAATTAATTTAAAGATGGAATGATGAGCCAAAAAATAAAAAGAATAAGTTTCTGATTTATTAGGTTAAGCACGAAATTAGAAATCAAGATCACTTGATTGTCCGTAGCTTGAGAATGAAGGCTCGTGGATAAGTAATGATGGGAACTTGTGCTTTAATGCGGGTGGACAATCAGGGTTGATGTGTGTTTCGGTTAACATGTGTTGGGGCTAAGAGTTTTGACACTAACCCTGACTATAATACATATCTATGTTTGCTTTTATGTGGCATGATTTCTGCATTTTTATTTTACATCAACAATATTTATAATGTTACACGTGACACATACGATTTGATATTTTTATAATTATTGCTTTTGCATGCTTTAACAAAAAGAACGATTTAAAAAAATAATCATGTAATCACGATTTTTGAATTTGTGTCAATAATGACAAAATGAAATTTATGAAAAATCGATCTAAGATTAGAGTATGGGTTATTAGTTTTTCAATTAAAAAAATAAATTATAATTTCTTTCTAAAGATGGATAACGTGTTAAATGAATAATTTCCTTTTTTTAAACAAAAAAATCCAAACTCAAAGCAAAATAATATTGAGATTCTTAATTTAGATATTTTATATTAAAATTAGAATTTTGAAGAAGACTGTAAAATTTATGAGATAAAAAAAGATTATTCTATTATGAATATTGCAAAATTCAATGAACCTTTTTATATAAAACCTAACCATAACTAAATAAACAAGAGGATATATATAAAAGTATATGAGAATGTTAAACAGAACTCAACAAATTTGGAAATAGAAGCAAAGTTGATTGCCAATTATAGATACCCTAATCTCTTGGTACATATAGGTAACCTAATTCATTAACATATCTATGCAAGTGGGTTATCTTTTTACAAGGTGTGTAGGCATCAACCTAACAATGGTGAAATGGGCAACATGCCAAGATGTGATCCATAGTCCATTTTACATTAATGCCCACACAATTGACCCCCACAATTCACTGAAATTTTCTTTCCAGGGGTAAAAATTACTAATTCATTTCACCCTTTTTGACCATATTCACAATTGCAATGAGAAAAATAGCACTTAAACATTAGGTTTAATAATAATAATAATAATAATATATCTTTCACAAAAATAATAATAAAAAAGAAATCATCAATTTCCTTGTTGTTTCCAAGTTGACCAAGAAACATCAACATAATATTTGGTATACTAACTTTCCTCAGGACTCCCATGATTCTTCTGTTTTCCTGAAGAGTTGATCAAGTCCAAATGAGGTCATTGTAGCATTAACCAAAGTTTGCATACACACTAATTTTCTATAAGTTGAATGTTAGAAACCAGTCAAATAAGAAACTCCTCCTTAACACGTGTCAAGAAGCAGTTGGGCACTTCACACAAATTTTTGAAATGGAGAAAAACAGAGTAGACAAATCCAACTTAAGGGGCAGTCTTGAGTACAGAAAAATTAAGGTTTCAAAAGAGTCCCTATGAAATAAATACAAGTTGAGAAAGCTACATTGCCCTTGCCCACCAGCTTTCTTTTCTCACTATTCATGAAGAAATCATGTCGTTTTATTTATTCACACCATATATAAACCCTATAAAACTCTCCCAAAAACAGGTATGCAAGGCCTTAGGCGTGAAGCATTTGCAGCTTTCAATCTAAAACAGAGGGTGTGGGCTTTGTTTTAGAGCTTGGGAATGGAGCAAAAGAAGACCAGCTGCTGCTACGATAACAGTAGCAGCAACAACAACGTAGCTATAAGAGATGAGGCTGGATACAAAGGTGTTCCGATTCATAGCCAAGTCATGAAGATAAAGCAAGAGTTTGAGAAGATCAAGCATCCGTCGCTGCAGCAGGCAGATATGAGACGAGTGCTCCGTGAGATCACCCGGCAACGGTCCCGCTCCCCTCTGGGATTAGCTGAAAGACCCATATCAGTTGGGAATTTATAGAAACCACCATGTTACATCATACATGGTAAATCCTCTGTAGAAGAGAAGAAGGAGAAATGGTTGCTCTCTTGGCGGCAGGTTTTTAGGAACAGAAACGACCTTGTTTCAGAGGCTTTTGTCCAGCCAGTTTCTGGATCTTTGTTCTTTCTGTTGTAGATATCCTTCTATATGTTTATGGAGAGAACCTTTTCTCCTTCTTCTCTGTCCTTTCCCTGTTCATAATAATTTTTGTCTCTATTAATATCTTATAGGACTCCATCTTGTATGGATTAAACCAGCTCCCTCTGTTTCCTTCTTTGGTTTATTTATAGCGTATCACCTCTCTGTTTTTGACTCGCAGTCGCTTCTATACCTCAACTATTCGTTGAATAGACCAACTTTATACCTTATATTACGAAAGAAATCTTAGAATTAAAGGCTCAAATCATATATGCAAGACAGCTTTTAACCCTGTTTTTTTTTTCCTTTTTTTTTCTGAGCTTTTTAAGCATATATCGCCTGCAAAGATTGCAGGATAACAGGGATAACACCAGGATTACGATTTAAAGCATAAACCAAATATCACCAGCAGGTAAAAGCGGTCAAAATTTTTCATAGATGTAAAAAGCTAAATTACTGAAACCAGCAGGAAATCGTATAGAAAATATTAAATATATACAGGGTTATAACAAGAAAAATAGCAGAACCAGAACAAGTGTAAGATGGAACAAACATAAGTTGAATGACTCTATATCATAAAAAATTAGCCTTAAGCAGTGGAGGTCTCCTTCGATGACAGAACCTTCACCCTCTTTGTGAGATCTCTCATGACATCTATAATCACGGATTTCTTCTGTATCCGGAACTGTATCGCCAACTCAGTTGAAACGGGAACACCTTGTTTCATTTGAGACTCATCATCCATTATCTTTGTGGGGAAGTGTCCCAGTGCAATCACACAGAGTGCAATAATGGTGCGGAAAACAGCTACTTCATTTGCAACTCCAAGGGGAGCTTCAGCTGATAAAGATTTTAGAATGTTCAAATCATACCTCTGCACCAATTCCATGTCATTTGATAGTATAACTCTTAAAGCAGACAATAAGCGTCCCTCTACCAATTCGGGGCCTCCTATGATTACCTATTAGGAATAAACAAAAGGGCAATAAATATTAGAATTGACCAAAATCATTTATAATAACACTAAAGTTAACTGTTAGCTGAGTTTGGTACAACTTAGGACATGAAACTGAAAGGACCAGTTGAAAGCTTAACTTTAGGGGATTTACCTCCCAGGAAGAAGGGCAGTTTTCTTCTATCTTTCTGCAATATTAAAGATAAATCTTTCTGCAAGCCAAATTTTTTCCTTCTTCCATACCTTATCAAGGCAGTCTTACTCCAATTTTTTTGAAACAGAAGCAAAGAGAGGCAAGGTTCTCCCATGTCAACAATGTGAAACAGACAAAATCAAAGTGTAAAGAGGTGGTCAACTTTTGAACTTTTTAGAATTCTTACTAATAGCATTTAAAAGTGAAACTTAAATTTGAAAAATGATCTATTACAAATCATAAACTGTTTCGTATTAGCAGGTATTATGATATGTACCCTTCCAAAGACAATAACTATTTAAAATAACATGACTGGAAGAAATAACCTTTACATTTGAAGCTTCTCCATCTAACTTAAGCTGAGACAGAACTTGTCGCTGCCATGGAGCTGGCGCAGAGAAATTGGGTGAAGAAACACCAGCAGCCATACTTGCAGCATCCATAAGAGCTCCATCATATTTAAGCTCAATATAGTCATATGGATTTGACGGCACAACAAATCCATAATCCAATAGGAAAAAGTCATTGCTTAGACAGCCATAATTGAGAAGTAAAGGATCATTTTGTTTGATATCCTTTTCAGCTACAACCTGGTATTAGAGAAAGTGAGATGTATGAGCAAAACTCTGAGCTATTTCAGCTTTTCATCAAATTAAAACTGATTGAAAGGTAAGAAAATCATATACAAGAACCTGCCTTTATTAGCATCTTTGAACTCCCAACATCTTGTTCTTGCACAATTTGGGCATTTGGATCAAAGCTATGGTTGCACATATCAATCAGAGGAAGCATCATTGGGATATCACTGCAGGTTCCATCTGGAAGCTTTTTCCCATACAATCGAAATGCCCTGGATGAGACTGCTGACATTGCCCATCCAAGGGAGGATGCATCAACATCTTGGCCACCAAAAGGGTGTTCGCTTAATTTCAGATTTTTAAGACCATTTTTTACTTCTTGCTCAAACTCCAGAAGAAAACGGCACCTTTTATTGACCTGGTTGGGGAAGAAAATCACAATTAACTTCAAAGCTAACTGCAGAAATCAAAGAAATTTACAAACAAAAAAAAGGGAATGTACACCCAAAATGGGCCAAATGAATGTTAACATTGACCATGGTTTCAAATCTAGATTTCAAGACAGCCCATAATTTGATCTGTCAAACCTTTTGTGTAGGCAAAGATTCTGGCTTCGATCCTTTTTTTTTCCCAGTTATACCGGCTTCCCACAACTTGGGTCAATGAAATTTCATTCACACAAGGAAAAGAAGATATTGCCTTCCCAATAACTTAAATAATGAAAATATATACCTGGTAAAGCAGGGGAGCATATTGCAAGTTCTTTATATCCTCTCCAGTAAAGAAGATGGGTACACTGTAAGTTTCAGGAAGATTGCTGATGTACGGCCACCAGAAGGATCCAACCTTTGCTCTTTCTTGCAGAAGTTTTAGACCCAACTTCATGGCCCATAGTTCCTCTGTCAAATGCTCCCACAGAGTCCAATTTAAAACTCTAAACAGCCCAATTTACAAAAGTTGGTAGCTATCAGCCTATATGAATACAGAAAATTTCCATGATACCACTCAATAAAACCAGAGTAGTGTTTGGTGCTATCAAGAAACTGATACTAATCTCTGATTAAACAAACAAGAAAGGAATGTTCACTAAACAGGTGAAGGAGGGAGGAACCAGCACTGGATTCATCAAATTCTCTTCTTTTTACTTCTAATTTGATTTTGACTGTCAAATTATCCAAAGATATTGCAATTTAGTCCACCTTACAATCTAGCTATATTGCATTGGCTCCTGGAATACTAGATCAGTTCTAGTTGATGCACAACACAACCCCATAAAAACTTTATCACGTGTTATAACCTTGAAGGATCTTTTTTTACATAATTCTATCTATTTCCTTATTTATTTTCTGCAGATTTTGATTTTTTCTAATCCATCTTAAAAAGTGAACGTGAAAAACATGTGAATGCTACACTGCATCTATGGGTATTCAAAGGGATAAGATTAGGAATGTATGTGCAAGAGAAAAGGCAGGGATCACACCATTTACGAACAAATGCGGGAAACATGTTTACAAATGCCCCTTTGAGATGATGTAATTTAACAGATGATATCAAGAGAAAGAGACGAAGAACATACAGTTGATGGGGGTAACAATAAAATTTATTTCAATTTTACAGAGTTTACAGAAGATATAGTCCTTATATAGGGCATAATGTGTAGAAACAGACTCAGTTTGTTGCAGCACCTTTTGTTACTAATCTCAACCTAGCTTTTTATTAGATGTCTTGAAAATATTTAGTTTTTTGAAGAGTCTATCAGAGACCTAAAAGAGCATAAATAAAAAAACTATGAAGTGCACTTCTACATGTTGAATTCTCTAGTCCTACTAATTTACTACAAGCCTAGCAGATTAAAACAAGTTTTAAACCTAGGACGAGCAAGTAGCCTACTCAAGTAATATTTTTCAATAAGTCCAAAATGTCCTTACAGTTGAAGAAATTTTAAGTAAGTCAACATGGTAACAGATAACAAGGACCAGGAAACCACCATCCTTGTTTGCTGTAGATGGAAACTGTGAGAATCAATTTGGTGTTGGACATAGCATAGAAGCAAAAAATATACACAGCAAACAATCAGCATATATAAAATACTTATAGAAACACTTTGGACCCTTTTCTTCTAGGAAAGTGCATGAAGTTTCTCAAAAGGGACAAGGCTTCTATTAGCATCGTCATGTACTCTTACACAGATGGTACTTCATCCACTGGAAGGGATAATTGTGTAGGGAAATGATCGTACATTCATCTTGTGTTGCCTATTCCTCTTTCTTCCTATATGTGGATAATTAATCCTCTCGTGACCTCAATCATACTCGATGCCACTTACTTAAGGAAGGGGTTGATGCTTTGAAAGTGCACTCATAGAACAATGAGCAAGATACGCTTCCCTCTCCTAACTCTCCATCGTCTATTCCTTAAGGCAACTCTTCCCGCATCATCCACATTACTTGTATGTAGGAAACTATGGACTGCAATTAGCCTGTGTTGCCATTATAATACTAGGCTTACTAGCTTACTAAAAGATACTTCCATTTCACTCTAATTTGAGGTTTACCAGGTTAACACAACAGGCTCTAGAGTTTCAGTATAAAGTAACTTGAAAGTCCTAGAGCATTTAGAATTTAACCATATGAAGACTCATAATCTCCTCCCTGTCAGCTCATTAAATTAATTCATTCATCTCTGGAGCAGTTTGGCCCGATCAAAGGCACTTTGTTAACTGAAGCATTCCAGTGCCATGAAGAAAACTTCATGATAAGATAGAAAAATCACAATTGAACTTCCACATTTAAGCTAATTGAAATTATCGAACCAGTTAGAACTTCAACATAATAGTTGAGCCCTTTCGTATAAGCTCAGGCTTTTCGAATAATCAGTCACCCAACTCAAGAATACCCACAAGGCCACACCAGAATCACTCAAATTCAAATCTACAAGGAGCATAAATGAATTAAGCAGTTTCTACGTTGTAAAGCGCCAAAAATAAACTCACCTATATACTTATTTTTTGGACTAAAATCAAACATTTAAAACACAATATAGAAACCAATGAATATTAGAGTCCAAAAGATGAGAAAAGAAAACCCATACCAGGAACTTGGTGAGACAAATGGAGCAAGACAGAGCCAGCCACATCTTGTCTGTCTGAATGAAACTTCAAGGGGACGTGATCAGGGAGGACGATAAGATCAGAGCCTTTGGGGATTTCTCCAGAAGCTACAAGGCCTAGGCCGAAGGTGGTGTCCTGCGCAATCTTCACAGCCTCGTGCACGAACCCACCTTCCTTTTTGACCCACTTCACGAGGTCAGGTGGGTGAGGTACCAGCCGCGTTGGGTATGAGGCCGCTGCGGCGCATGTTAGTGGACGGAAGAGGGTGAGAGAGGGGATAAGCATCTTTGAAGCGGCCATGTTTTCAAGTGGTAGGCTGCTCACTGCCGAGCGTAGCGATAGTCTATCTGCTTTTGCCGCTGCTTAGTCTAAAAAAGGGAAAAGAAAAGAAGCCACTACTCGGTTAAAAGCCTTTGGTTTATTTTTAGGGGAAATACTTCTATAATCTAATGATGCGAGGGAAGCAATTCCGAACATATCCTACGACAACAAATTTGTGGTTTATACTAGATGGTTATCATACAATTGAAATTCATCACCGATCTCAAAACCTTTGTTAGCCATAAAATCAGTTAAGCTTATTGTCTTCTCCATAGACATGACATTTATTGACTTCCCATTATCGATGCAGAAGCTCTTTGAGTACTAGAATCAGGTTCGAATTAGAACATGAGTGAGAAGATGAGGAGGTAATCGCTTGTACCATCATCTTGTTAACAACTTATAATTGATCTTGCGAAATCCCAACTCCCATGCTAAATAAAGTCCACGGTATACTCCTCATAATTCTACTCGGTATGCGGTGCATTTACCCAAATTGCATGTATAACCACCTAAGCTTTGTGCCTGCAATGTCGCCAATTACTCCCCCTGCAGCGGCTCTCTTTATTGTACCTCGATAAGCTCTATTTGAATCCACAACAACCCATCCCGTTGGTGGTGATGACAAACCCACTAGGATTTCTTCTCTTCTATTAAATGTCCGACCATGCACTGATGGAATAGCCATAGAATTAACAAGCGCAATAGCCATGCTTTTAACCGTAATTAAACGCCCTGCTTCTACCAGTATTAATCGGTCTTCAAAGATCGACGAGTTCCTCCATTTCCACAAGTACCAACATGCAATATGAAACATAATTTTCCAAGGTACCCCATACACAATTATCTTGCGGTTACTAAGAATAACTGAGAGCCAATCAGACATGGATAGTAAAATAAAAAGAACTGACCTTGTTCATTTTGAGATTGAAGTCAAAACCATAAAGCACTTGCAACTGGGCAATCCCGGAACAAATGCAAGATTGATTCTTCTTCCAATCGGCATTAAGCACAGATGGCATCATTTGACAAACGGTGTCGCACTCTCTTCTGGTTGGTGAGAATCTGATCGTGGAGGCATTGTAAAAATAACATGCATATACGTTGAGGGCCCTGCCATTTTCATGCTAAATTCCACTCATCATCAGTAGTACCTGTGTCCGAGTTAATTGACTTTCTTCAAACGTCATATGCTGGACTCACAGTAAAATTTCCGAATGGAGAAAGAGACTAGTAAGGATCATCAGAGTGGAATGATTAAGATAGTGGTATTGAACTTGTAATATGTTGTAAATCCTCCTCTGGAAAGGAGTTCACTAGGCTAGCCAAGTCCCAGTCTCCATTCAGCGTTATATAATCTCTAATACAATCATTTTCATTCACAACAGTCTCCATCATTCGAGCTGCATCCTGCAATGGGTGATCTCCTAGCCATATGTACGTCCAAAATTTTGTAACCAGCCTATCACTTATTGAACTCCAAAGTGGTGAAAAACGGCTTCTATGTATGCTATCTGAGCTTCTGGAGGCTCGAAAGTTGTATTTGCCATATAGAACTTTCACCCATAAAGCCTCTAGCCTTGATAGCAATTGCCCACACACCTTTAACATAAAAACATCATTCATTAAGTGTAACCGTCAACTGCCCATACCGGCTTCTTCCTTAAGCTTGCATAGTTCGTCCCATTTAATCAACTGTATCTCCCTATTACTTGCATCTCCACTCCAAAGAAAATGCTGACATAGGAACTCAATTCTCTTGCAAACATCTAACGAAATAAAGAAGGTTTGCATTGTATAATATGGTATAGCGTGAGCACGGATTTGACTAAAGTAAGTCTGCCAGTAAAGGAAAGAGATAATGCCTTTCATGCAATCAATCGACTACGTGCTTTATCTTCCAAGTATCTATACATATGAGCACTCTTTCGACCTTGTATCAGAGGGACACCGAGACACTTCCCCATATCCTCTGAATAAGAAAAATCAAAACATGATAGGAAGCTGTTAGTGTTTTCTTTGGAAACATTTTGAGAACATAAAAAGGTTGATTTCTCCACACTTATCCGTTCCCCTGAACAAGCACAAAAGTCCTCAAGAACACCCTTAATTATCTCCATCTGAGTAACAGAAGCTTCTGCAAACAATATTAAATCGTCAGCAAAAAATAGACGAGTTACAGGTAAGCATTGTCCACTCAATCTAATTGGTTTCCATGAGCCTTGTGACACAGCCATTTAAATAACATAGGTGAGTCTCTCCATACATAATACAAAAAAGACAGGATGATAACAGTTACCTTGTCTCACACTTCTAGAAAGAATAAATCTATTTGATTGCGACCCATTCCATAACATCTAAGAGCTACAACTCTTCAATTATAAATTACACCCGAACATTTAATTCATTAATTGATATATTATTTTTTTATTTAAAAAGTAAAATTCGAATCTCCTCTCTTCCAATTATATGAAAAAAAAACTCTTTAACTATGAATTAATATATCAATAATCTTACTTGGGATTCGAACTTCCAATGAAGTATCATGGATAAACTTCCATCTATACTGATCATAAGCTTTCTCAAGATCCATTTTAATCATCATCCACCTAACTCTCTCCTGTTTTTTCTAATCAGCCTCCGTGGGATGAAGCTTGCTTGCTGGTCTGCTATCAACGAGCTCATACACGACTTCAGTCTATTAATAATCACTTTCATTGATACTTTGTAGACTACCGATAACAAACTGATAAGCCAAAACTAAAAAATGTACTCTACAGAGGTAGTTTTAGAAATTAGAACTATTCATGAGCTACATAAACGATCACCAATCTCTGCTCCATTAAATACATTCCGAATATAATCAATCAATTTTTGTCCCACCCCATTCCTTAACAAAAGCTATTCAAATGCATATATTTATTATTAAATTAAATCTTCGGATTTATAAAATGAGAGTCCTTGAAAATTGTGTACTAAGTAGATTCATCCAAAAATAAATTCAACACTTAATTACTTGTGCAATGCCATTTTATTAATATTTTTCTTGTTTATTATTAAAAAATAAATTAATATATAATATTAATCCGAGTAATAAATAAAAAATTAGCTATAATAAAACTTAAAAGGAACTCGAGCTTGGCTTAACATCTTGAAATTTAAGCTATTCAATATTTTCCATTATGATATGAAAATGGTTGTGGATTTTACACATTTTGTTTATGGAAATTTTTTCAAAATTACTTCATTCTCATATTATGGATGTAAATATCGAATATTATTATCTCTCTTGTTAAATAACAAATATTTTAGGTAAGATTTCAATCTGACACTACTTAAATGACTTTGTCAGTCAAGTTAAGATAAAATTTGAACATGGAAATGTACATGTATACATCATTTAATCAAATTTTAAGATAAATTTGATATAATTACTTATTTCAAAAATAAATAAATAAATTTTCTTAAAAGATGAATAAATTGCATTGATCCATAACATTTGCACACTCTTTCGTGTTCTAGAAATAAATTCCAATTACAAGTTGACAATGAGCAGTCAATGAAGTTAAATCTCAACATGATTAGTTTGGACTCTCAATAATTTACATGATCTACGATTAGACTTCTCACTCTTTCTTGATGGCACGTTTGATTCAAAATAATAACTAAATCATTCTTTTTTTATTTAATTTCGCAAACCAAATGTTTCGTAAATTATATATGCAGATTTATGGTATAACTTTAATTTTTTTATAAATAATTTAAATTAATACTGCTTTGTACTCATTAATATTTTTTAAATAATTATTTTTATTATATACAAATTTATTTGTTATATAAATAAAAGAAAATCTCAAAAAACTTCCTTCTCTAATCACATAAAAGTTATGAGAAAAATTAAAAAAAAAATTAAAAAAAAAACCGTGTGCAACGCACTGACCATAATCTAGTTACCTATAATTGAAAGGGATGCTAAAAAAACCCAACGTTTGGCCACGTTTTTTGCTTTTTGGATTGCCACATTTAGGGTTCCTTTGTGTGACACGTGGACTTTTGGATGCCCCAACAAACCTGCCGGCCTTTGCAAAGTTTTTGGTCCCCGTGAGTCATATTAGGTTGCACGTGGACAAGTTTTATTGGCGTTTTTGTTTAGCACGTTGAAGGAAGAACTCAATAGAGGAGCCAGTGTGCCATTGCAATGTTTATGAGTGTTGTAAACGTTTAATTTGGTTTCCCTGTGCATCCAGATCCTTCTTTTTTGTTTTTTTGGTTACGACACTCTTCATTTTAAGGATAAATAAATAAATAGATTTGGCGGTTTGATTTTTTATATTTAAAAATTAAATATATTAATTATTTTAAAAAAATTAATTAAAATTAATCAAATATTAAAAAAAATCAAATCGATTAAATATAGAATAAATTTAGTTAGTTCAATTTTAAATTAATAGATTAAAATTTTATTATTATTTTTTTATAAATTATAATATTAAAATTTATAAACTTCATCACTAATTATATATATATGAAATTAATGATATAACTTATATGTTATAATGTTTTATA